GTACTTAGTAATAGGATATTTCAGCATTAGTATGTAATTTTAGCAAGTTCTGACCTATATTCACCTGGAGGGAAGTTCCATTGCTGTATTATGGGAATTTCTAGTTTGTGTCATTTTCTGTCATTAAATGTATAGCCTGATGCCTTCCCAAATGCTGGACCAGGCGTTTTTGCAGGGTTCAGCACTGGTGTCCACAGCTGTACCATGAAACGGTTTTCAATTCTCAAGTAGCTGTTACATTAGCAAAGTAAGACAATAGCCAACATTTCATTTGTGCTGACCAGTAAACCCTGAGCGTCATCAGAGGAGGCTGTTGCTGATTAATAAACAATAGGGATTTTCTCTAATAGAAGTGCATCTGGTAGCTGTGGGAAATCATCTTTAATCCCCTGTAATGAGTTTAGAGGCTGTCAGAACATTTGATGACAATGTGGGCTTTATTTTAGCTGCTCAGTTAGCCTGTTATGTCCACACTGAGTTAACACCATCATTCTACTTACTGGCCTTGGTTTTCTCTCTTTCTCTTGATTTCTCCACTTTATTTTGTGGTCCTACTACTCACCGTCACTGAGGCTGGAGAACCTGGGTCCTCCCGACTCCTTACAACCGTGACTCAGCACCTTTCCTGAATGCATCCCTTCTCCACCTGCTCTGTCACTTCTGCCTTAGCCTCACTTGCCAGGACCACTTCCAACCCTGCCTGCTGCTCCCTAAAGCTCAGTCTCCACCCAGCCTAGAATCTTCTCTTTAAACCCAAGACTGAGCAGTCTCTGTCCATTTGAACTTTCGGGGATCCCCACTGCATACAGAGTAGATTCTCCACTCCAGGCGGGCCTGGCAGAACCCCTTGCGGCCTCCTTACCTGTTACCCTCTGTGCCCTGCAGAGTTCTCTGGGCTGTGTCTCCCCTCTGGGCCATTTGCTCAAATGGCCTGCTTTGTCCAGAACTCCCTCTCCACCTGCCCCATCCCTTGCCTCCTTTCCTTGCCCGGATCCTCATCTTTGTTTGACACAGTTCAGATGTGAGCCTCACCCTCTGCCCCAGGAACGGCAGGTGACCCTCCCCTTTATTCCAGTGTCTCTGGGAACAAACTAGGGACTCAATGTATGCTTGTCGCCATCATTGTCCTTCTTTACTGTGATTCTGTGAGTATCTGTTGGTGTGTCCTTCTTTGGAATGTTAGCTCATTCTTATACAAGTAGAAAAAGCCCAATGCCTGATACTAAAAAATACACAAGAGCTATGACCAGAAGGGTTTTAGAAAACCACGCAAATAGCTCCTAAACATAGGAAAAGATGTTTGGTCTTGTTGATAAGATGTCAATTACTATGTGACCATTTTTTATCTGTCATAAATCTAGAAGTTTGATAAAACACTCTGTGGGTAGTGTGTGGAAATAGGAATTCTCGAATATTGCTGGTTGGAAAACAAAATGTTTCAACCCTTATGAGGGGAGAAATTTGGCAATGCCAAGCTAGCTTATATATGCTTTTACCCTCTGGTCTGGGAATCATACTTCCAGGAATCTACCCCAAAGATGTACTGCTAAATATGTAACAAAATATTTGCACAAACTCATACTTTATAATGGAGAAGGAAATGGCAACCCACTCCAGTATTCTTGTCTGGAAAATCCCATGGACAGAGGAACCTGGTGGGGTCGCAAAGAGTCAGACACGACTGAGCAACTGAGCACATACTTTATAACATGTTTTATAAGAGCAAGAGATTGGAAACAGCCCAGATAACCATTAATAGAGGTCTAGTTGAATAAAGGGAAGGTGGAAAAATGTGTTTGGTTTGCTACTCTTTTTCTAAGAAAAGGGAGGATATGATTATAAATCTGTTTTTTCTTTTAGTTTTTATAAGTTTTCCTTTAAGGAAAAAGAGGTATCAAGACGTAGATGGCAAGAATAAAAGCTAGACTTCTCTAAATATCCTTTATTTTAGGGATTTTGTCTTGGAACCATGTAAATATTTCATTTAATTATTAAATTTTTAATTAATTTTTCCTTTGTTTTTTAACTGAAATAAAGTTGATTTACAATATTGTGTTAAGTTTCTGATGTACAGCAAAGCGACTCAATCACTAACAAAATACAACAAATGAACCAAAATAAGTATTGAGTTGGTGAAATAGCCTCCCAGAGAAAAACTCATAACTCTCCTCTATTTTTCTTTCCCTCCAGCTTTTTGCCAGCAGAATTGCTGACCTTAAGCCCACAGCAGACTGTAAAGTTTGTAACAGTCTCTAAGGCAAAGTGGAAGCCTGATTTCCAGGGAAGGTTAACCGGAGGTCATTGGACAAAAGTGTATTTTACTAAAGAATTACTTTTCCTCATTCAGGTTCTTCCTTCCCTTCTCTTTCACCATCACAAAAACCGAAAACCAGAGTGAGAAAGCTGAATGGGTGGGCTCCTCTCTTCCCCTAGGAGGTTTCAAACTTGATTGTCTTGGAAAGTGGTAGTTCCAAGGACACAAATAGGGAATTTTCAGAGAAAAGCTTTCAGCTGGTGTTAGAGAGCCCTCGATTATAGTAACAAGAACTGGCTAACCTCAAGAAGAGTAGAAAAGCCTCTGCGACTGCAGAGGTTAAGAGTGCCATGCCAAACAGATCAAAGACTAGTAGCGAAAAGGACTGACTTGACTTGCCCGTTCTGCAGAAATAGAATAGCTTCTAGTTAAAGGATTGAGTTGTTAAAATGAAAAGCCCTCCTGTATAACACACTTGTGCACGTGCATCTGTTACTGAGACCAAGATGCTCCTACTCACTGCACAACAGGCTAATGAATCTAGAGTCAAGGTGCTAGAGCAAGGAATAGTGATTTTATTCAGGAAACCAGCAGACGGGGAAGATGGTGGACTCATGTCCCAAAGAACCATCCTAGTTGAGATAGAATTCAGGCTACTTTTATACTAAAAGGGGGAGGTTGTGACTAGTTGCAAACTTCTTGGTGCTAGAATCCTTTGTTCTTGCTATTGTCCAGGGAGATTAGGTCCCAATGTTCCTATAAACCTCTAACAAGACAAATGTTATTCTCTGTTCTGAAACTTTTAATCTCTATATGGATGGAAGACTGTCACACTTTTAAAGATCAGAATCTTGAGAATGGGCTATATTTTAGGCGAGAGGCAACATTCTTTCACAAAGGTCAGAGCCTGCAAGACAGTACAGGCAACAGAGCACAAGGGTTAGAGCTAAAGGAACAGATCCAATTTGGGAGTCAGGTCTGTTCTTTTCTGTTACACATTTATGCGGTGTCTGGTCATGCTCTTTGGAAGCTGGTGGTGGACAAGATGGTTATTTGAGGTCTATACCTGTAGACAGAAAGAAGCTGAAGCAGGATTGGGCAGAGGAAGAAGCTGAACTGTGGTAAGGGCTCAACAAAGCCTTGGCTCACCGTGAAAAATGATCCCATGACAGGTGGAAACATATGACTTTATCCCCTCATCTCACTGAGTCTTCTGACCATGCTGCCCAGGGAGGGCTTGGCTTCTGACAGAGACCAGCTCCCCGCAACTAAAGCAGCCCCTTTAAAAATTTATTTATTTGTTTGTTTTTGGCTGTGCTGGGTCTTCGCTGCTGTGCAGGATTTTCTCTAGTTGTGGTGTGCGGGCTTCTCATTGCACTGACTTCAATAGTTGTAGCACATGGGTTGAGTAGTTGCAGCAGATCCTGGGCAATGGAGCACGGGCTCACAGTTGTGGCACATGAGCTTCATTGCTGCGCAGCTTGTGGGATCTTCCCGGATTAGGGATCGAACCCGTGTCTCCTACATTGGCAGGGAGATTCTTTATCACTGAGCCACCGGGGAAGCCCTAAAGCATACACTTGAAGGGAGACCTGGGGGCACATCCCTTTGCTAGCCGACTAGCAACCCTGTCTATAGTTCACATAGAGTGTTCTTAGCGTAATTTCTCTCAAACAAAAGGCATTACATTTTCAGCAAAGAATACATGCTGTATATTTAGGATTGAATTCAAAATTGCCATTAGAGTTTATATTCCATGGATTATCAAATGGTCAATATTATATTTCCAGGAAGGCTAGAATTAGCTGGTGATTTATTCATCCCACAAACATTTCTTAAGTGTCTATTGGATAGTAGTCTCTGGAAATTGAAATATGAATAAAGATGCTTTTCCCCGGAACTGGGAGTTGGATTCTAGTAGGAAGCAGAGAAAATAGACAAATGAAGCACAGTGGAAGGAGTTTAACAGGTAGGTATAAAAAAGACGCCATAGAAGTTAAAGGGGCATTAAAGGAGCCAGTGGCCAGCTGTGCCTGCAGACCTCCTCCTGGGAGAGGAGACGTGGGCTCCACCTCACAGAGGACAAGAAATATACCCAGGGGAATGTTACAGGAAGAACAAATGAACGGGTAAAGGCTCAGAAGAATGAAAGAGCATCTTACATGATGGGAACCACAAGTAGACTATGTGACTGAGGCATAGATTGTGTTTAAGGAAGTACTGGAATATGGGGGAAATATATAAGCAATTATTTTATTCATTTATTAGTATAGTTTTTATTTGTATTTTATCTATTTTATCTAGGTTTCCTCAAAAGCTTTTAACCACAAGTTTGTGATTTTTTTGTTTGGTTTTGTGATAACACCCTTCTGCACAACATTTTTTGAGGCTGTTTTGAAAGATGGTGTTGATTGAGTCTGCCAGGTCATGGGTGCCATAAGGCTGCTCTATTTCTAGTACCCTAACAGGTCTGTTCTTGACTTGATGTTGACAGATAAGGGAATGAGATGTTTGGGCACCATTCCTGGGGATGCTGCGGCTGTGTGTCTATTCCTGGGGGCTGGAATACTGAACAGTGTTAGAAGGAACACTCTGCCTTCCTGTCATAATGAGTCCTTAGCAACCACCTAGTTCAGGTCACAGACAGGGAAAGGAGATATAGCAGTGTCTTTGCTCTTTCTGGTGCAGATAAATTGGACTGAGGAAGTTGGGAAAGAAAATCAGTAGCACAGCTACAACCTTGGCCATGGCGTGTGTGACCTTTCGAAAACCAGTGTCAGCCACAGTGGGGAAGCAGATGGTGTTCACAGGTAAAGGGCTTTTCTGTATCTTTCACAAGGAGACTGAAACTTCCTTAATCGCTCACCTATATGATACTCAAATGACAATGGACTTGAGGAGGAAAGAACCACACACACTTATTCTACATGATTCTGCTGCTCTTATTATGCACTCAGCCTGGGCTGAGTTGCCTTGAATAGGTTTGTGATGTCCTGTTCTCACTAATTTAGGAATTTTTTCATATCATACAGTTTATGTTTTGTGTAACTGGGGCTGCTTTGATGTTAATACAAATTATAGTAGTGATCATATTTTCATTATTACTGATTTAAGTTTCTTGTATTTTTAGAAATTTGACATATTTGATTGATAAAAATTTGAGCAAGATGTAAGCTTAGTAAAATGTCGGCTGGCATTTTGTTCCTTCAACTTGCTTTAAATGATTTGGATGGTATGTCTGTGTGAAATTATGTATATGTATAATGGAATCACTTCGCTGTGTACCTCAAACTAATGAAACATTGTAAATAAACTATACTTCAGTTTTTTAAATGTAGTTAAATAGACTATGACTAATTGTGATTTGTGCAAGAAATGTCACAATTTTATCTTATTTCCTTTATGTTTTAAAATTACAAGCCTATTTTTAAGCATATCCCTTGTTTATCTGTAAATTCTCACTGCAATCATGAGAAGCTTGGCTCCTACTCTTTGCCACCCATTTATTTAACTGTTTAACTTCCACCGGGTCTCCCGCATTGCAGGCAGATTCTTTACCATCTAAGCCACTGGAGAAGCCATATGTATGTGTATACAAGTATCAGAATTGCTAGCCAGTACTTCAGAAGAAGAAACTTGGTCAGCTAGAGTACAATGCTCCTTACCTTCCTTTTGCCTTTGGGCTCAGGGCTCTGCTCATTTCCAAAGTTACTTAAGGTCAAAGTTACCAAAGGTCAGCTCCTTTCACCCACTCCCTCCAGTGAGACTGGTTTATATATTTGTAATACAGTTATTCTCCTGTCACTGTCTAGATTCTATTCTAAAATCCTCCAGACTCCTAAATGATTTTTTAAATTTGTGTACACCAAGCTTTGCTCTCTGTGCTAAATCTTCAGGTTTTGGCAACTTCGTAAGCTCACGTACGCACCATGACAGCACTTTTCAACCTCATTGTCCCTGTGCTTCACCTACACATCCCCCCTTTTCCCTCACTGAGTTCCTGGCAGCCACTGATCCTTTTTCTTTCTCTAAAGTTTTGCCTTTTCCTGGATATCATAGAGCTGGAATCATACAGTGGGTAGCCTTTTCAGATTGGCTTCATTTACTTGTCAATATGCATTGAAATTTCCTCCATGTCTTTTCATGGCTGGAGTGTTCACTTATTTTTATCACTGAATAGCCTTCCATTGTAGGGTTGTATCACAATTTGTTGACCTAATCATCTTGGCAATTCTGGAAGAAAAAAAAAAACTTCTATGAGACTTTTGCATGGATATGTTTTCAGATCAATTTGGTACATACTCAGCAGTGTGATTGCTGGATCATATGGTGAGACTCTGTTTAGCTTTGTAAGAAACTGCCAAGTTGAAATAAGTCAGAAAGAGAAAAACAAATATTGTATCTTAATGCATATGAGTAGAATCTGGAAAGATGGTACAGATGAGCAGTTGGCAGGGCGGGAATAGAGATGCACACAGAGAGGACAATGTGTAGGCAGAGGGCAGGAAGGGGGGAGTGAGACGAACTGGGAGAGAAAGATTGACACATATACACTACCATGTGTAAAAACTAACTAACTAGCGGGAAGCTCTGAATACAGCAGGGAACTCAGCTCTGTGCTCTGAGATGGGTGTGCGTGAGTGGGAGGGAGGGTCAGGAGGGAGGGGATATATGTTTCCATGTGGCTGATTCACTGCCTTGAACAGCAGAAACCACCACAACATTGTAAAGCAACTACACTCCAACAACAGCAACAAATCAGAAAAGCAACTGCCAAATGGTCTTGCATAGCAGCTGTACCGCTTTGCGATCTCGCTTGCAATTAAGTGAGAGTCCCTGTTACTTGGCACCCACGTCAGCGTTTGGTTATCTTTCTGTTCTCACCTTTAGCCATTCTTACCAGATGTAGTTACGTCTCACTGCTGTTTTAATTCATAATTCCGTAATGAATGATCATATACTTATTTGCCATCTGAATATTTTCTTTGATGTGATGTCTGTTCATAATGTTTGCCTATTATAAAATAATTGTTTATTTTCTTACTGTTGAGTTTGAACAGTTCTGCATGTATTTTAGAGACAAGTCTTTTATCAGATAAATGTTCTGCAAATAGTTTCTCCTGGTTTGTGGCTTGTCTTTTCATTTTCTTAACATAGTCTTTGATAGAGCAGAGCACAAGTTTTAGTTTTAATAAACAACTTTAATATTTAGTTTAATAAACCACTTTAGTATTTAACATCTTTAATTTAGTTTTAATAATTGATTTTTCTTTCATGATGCTTTTGATATTATATCTAAAAATGCATCACCACATCCAGAGTCTCCTAGATTTTTGTCCTTGTTTTCTTCTAAAATTTTTTCCTATTTTGTGTTTTCATTTGTCTATAATTCATTTCACAGTGATTTTTGTGTCTTTTAAACTTTTCATTTCCATCAGCCAATTGATTTCCTTTTCTCCTTAAGCCAGCCTGGGTTGGGTTTTCTGTCACTTGCAACCATGAATTTCTTATAATCTGTGTCAGTGTATACTTGGTTTCATGTATTTACATAGTTCAAATTCTTATCACTTTTGATAGGCTTCAGGTTTTACATTATGTTGATGTGTAATAATTCACTTCATGTTCTCCTATATTTTATATTTAAATTCCAAATTACCTCTGTTATAATTAAGGTTGCATGAATACTTTTGGGTATTTTTCCTTCTCCGTTATTTTCTCATGGTATATTAACAGTGAGTGGAATTAGGTGGTGAAAGATACAAACTTATTCAGGCCAGAGACTTCAGAGAATTGTATAAAATATTATGAACAATATATTTGTATTTAAAGTATACAAATAGTTTTAAAAATCACTGTTATTTATTTTTGATAATGGGGAGTTTTATATCAATCTATTTGACTATAACATTTAAAATTTTTGTTATGAATATTTTAGAACATATCCCACTTACCTGTCACTCATATTCAACAATTTATCAAAAACTTCCCACATTTGATCACATAGTTTTTTTCTTTTTCATTGCTAAAATATTTTAAAGTGAATTTCAGACATTCTGTTATATCCTACATATATCACAAGCATGCATGCTAAGTTGCTCAGTCGTGTCTGACTCTTTGAGACCCCATGGACAGGCTTCTCTGTCTATGGGATTTTCCAGGCAAGAATACTGGAGTGAGTGGCCATTTCCTTCTCCAGGGGATCTTCCCGACCCAGGGATAGAACTTGAGTCTCCTATCCCTCCTGCATTGGCAGGGGGATTCTTTACCACTGAGTCACATGGGAAGCCCCACATACTTCACTGTGCATCACTCCCCCTCCCAAATGAACATATTCTTACATAACCACATTGTCATTATCACATCTGGCAAAATATAAAATTATTCTCTAACAACATGTAATTACTAGTCCATGGTAATATTTCCCTCATTGCCTCTAAAATGCATTTTTACAGTTGTTTGCAAAAATATGGATCTGAATTAGGTCCACACATTGCATTTGGTTGTGTTCTTTCCTTTGATGTCCTATAAACTGGTACAGGTGGAAGCAGTGACAAACTTCCTCTTCTTGGGCTCCGGAATCACTGTGGATGGTGACTGCAGCCATAAAATTAGAAGATGGTTGCTTTTTGGAAGAAAGGCTATGACATACCTAGATAGCATATTGAAAAGCAAAGATAGGTCCATATAATTAAAGCTATGGTCTTTCCAGTAGTCTTGTATGGATGTGAGAGTTGGACCATAAAGAAAGCTGAAAGCTGAGGAATTGATGTTTTCAAACTGTGATGCTGGATAAGAATCTTGAGAGTCCCTTGGATAGCAAGCAGATCAAACCAGTCAATCCTAAGGGAAATCAACCCTGAATACTCACTCATTGGAAGCACTGATGCTGAAGCTGAAGCTCCAGTACTTTGGCCACCTGATTTGAAGAGCCGATTCATTGGAAAAGACCCTGATGCTGGGAAAGATTGAAGGCAAAAGGAGAAGAGGGCAGCCAAGGATGAGATGGTTTGATGGCATCACCAATTCAATGGACATGAACTTGGGTGAACTCTGGGAGAACGTGAAGGACAGAGAGGCCTGGTTATGCTGCAATTCAGACATGACTTGGCGACTGAACAACAGCAACAATAAGCTGGTACAGTCTTCTTTCTTTTCCTGTTGCAAAGACTGGGTCGGTCATCCAGAAGAAATACCCAACATTCTGAATTTGCCTGGTGTCATGTCATTTAATGTGTTCCTCTGTCCTCTGTGTTTTCCAAAACTGGAATCCGGCTCTTGAGGTCCAACTCTTTGGGCAAGCTTGTTGCTTGAATGCTGCTGTGGTCAACACATCATACACAGAGCAGACATTAAAATTTCAATTTCTCCAAGACCCATCACTTAGGACCTTTCTAAGTTGTTGGGACTTAGTTCTCTTCTTTCTGAATTTGGAACTGATCTCAATGAGAAGCTCATGTTCTTGTAAAGATATTGGTGTAAGTGGGTATGAACTCTGGTTAGGCAAATAAAAAGTTGATGTGCTGCATACTCTATATCAAATATTGTATAGTTGCAATAAAAACATGGAAAATATTTTGTCACTATTAATAATTAATGAAAAAGCAATCAAATAACATGAGAAATCATTTTAAAATTTATGCTGAATGCTGATAATGTGAGGAAAAACTAAGTGGATTATCAGAGGATGAGACAATAGCGGAGAAGTTTTGCAGAAATTTTGAGGATGATTTCAGAGCACTTTTAAGAGTTTTATAGAGTTTTTACTAAAGCCTAATTTAATCTAGATAGCATATTAAAAAGCAGAGACATT